GAGGCCATCAACACAATAGCGAACGGGAATTCTGGTATGCTGTTCAAGATCGGAGACCACAGGGAGTGATCCAGTTACCGCGGTATTATCTTACTGAGCCTCTCAGGTAAAGTCTACGCAATGGTGCTAGAAATGAGGTGCCGCGGAATAACTGACTCGAAGGTACAAGGCGAATAGTCTAGCTTCCGATCTGACATCCAGCAGGTGATCTCAGTTAATCATCCTGCACCAGAATGTTGAGAAATTATTCGAATTCGCCCATCCGGTATGTGTGGTTTATGGACTTAGAGAAAACCTACGGCCGGATCCCGCGCAATAATCTATGGGAATGCCTGCAAACATATGGGATCGATGACCAGTTGCTGCGGACCATCCAATAATTATATGCTGATACAGGTGCTGCGTCAGACTAAATGGCGCTAAGTTGAAACCTGTCAGCGTTGGCATTTGTCTCCGTCAAAGCTGCGTTCTGTCCCTTCTCTTGCTTTTTTACATGGATGGAATCGTCAGGCACAGCCAAAGCAATGAGTGAATCAGTGTAGATGTTGAGACGAGAAGGTTTCTTTTTGCAGACGACCTTGTTTTATTAGCATGTTCTGAAACCGATTTGCAGTGCTCTCTGGAAAGGTAAGCAGCCGAGTGCGACGTGACTGACCGGCATGCGTGTGAACGCATCTAAAACGAAAAGCCTAATGCTTTCTCGTTCTCCTGCCCGTCGCTCTCTTCAGATTAACGGAGAGGCAGTAGAGCAGGTTGAGAAGTTCAAGTACCTCGGAATCGTATTTACTAGAGATGGAAAATTTGAGGAATAGATCGACCGGCGGATTGAAGTAGCCAGTGGCGTTCTGCATAAATTAGCCCGATCCACTGTCACTAAAGCACAGGTGAGTTTCAAGACTACGCTCTCGGTCTTTAAGTCGATCTTCATCCCATATTCATCTATAGTTGTGAGTGATTGATTGTGACTGATAAACGTCGATCCCAGGTACAAGCTGCTGAAACATGCTTTCTGAGATAAGTCGCTGGTCCTAAGGAGTACAGAAATCCGCGAGATCCTCGGTGTTCAGCCACTGCTTCTTCAGATTGAGAAGTTACAGTTGCGATAGTCTGGGCATGTGCTGCGAATTCCTCTGAAAAGGAAGACGAAGCTCCTGCTACTTACCCAGACGACCGGCAGAAGGCACAGGGGACAACCAAGATTATCCTCGTACAAATATATGGAAGAAGTCTGCTCTAGACTCTTATGATTGTCTTATGCCAGAGGTGAGTCTCTGGCAGAGGTTCGGGAACGGTGGAAACAGTCTCGACACGAAATGATGAACAGTTATGATCATAGCTGCTTGAAAGTACTGTAGTTCTTTATCTCAAGTCCTGTCACTCTGAGAATTATTCCATACCGAGGACGAAAGATCAAGGCGATAGTGAAAGGATTTCTCGTATGTTTGTTTCTTTTTCACACTCCGTGTCAGAAAAAGGAATGTAAGCATTCGAATGAGCCACTTTCAGCGGACGAAAGATAGCATGGTATTTCGAACTGATTGCTCTATGTAACTGGACTACAAGGTTCACAGGCAACACACTGAACTAAGAAACTAGTAGGTAGATACCAACTTTGTAACAGTACCACAGCATTAGCCGTTAAGTTTATGCTTCGCTAACGATAACATTTCATTAATGTCTGTTATTTTATCTCGAGGTTTCGAATGCGCAATGGCACGCTGTTTTTCTACCGCATCAATGCACTTCCAGTCTTGCCAATCAGTGAAGTAGGATTTTCTGCGAAGTTCGACTTCAATTGCGTCAGGATGCTTTTCTTTGTCGATGCACACCACGGGTTTGGCAGAATAATGATCGATGAGTGACTCAGCGACTGCCCTCGCATTCTGCTGTGTCTTCAGTAGCACTCCAGTTGAGCCAAGGCTGCACCAGCCGCACGCATAAACCGTAGGGCAGCCTATCACCGTTCCATCTTCGGCCGTGCTCACTATGCTCTTTTGCAGATTAAAGGGCAACAGCCCATTGCTGATATCGAGCGACTGACGGCCGAAGCTACAAACGACGATTCCGCAGGCGATTGTCTGGGTTTCTGGCGTTGGTTCCGCAATGGCAGAACTGAAATCATCTGCTGATGACATTCGCAACCGGTTCTGAATGAATTTAACGCCTGTCACATGTTTCGAAATGGACAGGATTTCTGTAGCAGACAACAGGAACCGAAGCGAGCAAAGATTCACCGTCTGAGGAGGAGGTACCGGAAGTTGCGATAGTTGTAGCATCAGTTCAGTGAGGCGCCTTCTCGGTCTCTGCAGCTGGCCAAGAAATGGTATTGTGCTTTCTAAGTCAGAGCGGGCAATTTCCACAAATACACCAGGCAGACGAGACATCTCACGGAGCTCCGCCGTCGTGATCGAAATTTGCAGGGGGCCTCGTCTCCCTGCAAGGATCACGCGTCGAATACGGCTTTTTAGAAGTGCTGCGTAAGCCCTGGCCGAAATGTCAGTGTGAGCCAAGTGCTCGGTTGATGATAACAGCATGCGAGCAATATCAAGTGCGACGTTTCCGTGACCAAGAACAACAGCTGTATCAGTCGACTGCAGATCAGGATCTACATTTGCATATTTGGGATGTCCATTGTACCAACCTACAAAGTCGCTTGCTGAAAAACAGCCAATTGCCTCATCTCCTATTATCCGCAAGGGTTTCGACTGCTGAGCCCCATAGGCAAGAACTACGTAATGATATGCCTAAATTATATATTAAACATAATAAAATCGGCAACCCGAAAGGAGAAGCGGTCAAGGAAGATGGAGATGAAAATATAATAAAATTACAATGAAACAACAAGCTACTTTTGTAGAGCAAAGCAACCAATAAAACAAAACTGCTTGAACTAAGGTCTTAAGAAAGGTAGTTCATTGGTAGAAATTCATGTAGCCATACGAAATAGCTACTCATCAAAATTTGAGCAACGGCTCATAACAGACACGCTCACATACAAGTGGCGTTTAAACAAATGTCTTTTATTCACTGCGGAAAAAAATAGAGAATAATAGTAAAAAACGAATCAAAAGTGAAACCTTCTAATTGAATGGCTAGCGGTATGAAACAGGACATCAATCTCGGAATCCTTTAAAAATAATGCTGAAACACATCATGAGAGGAAAAATAGTTTCAAAACACCTTTTTAGCAGTGCACTCATTGGCAAAACAACATGGAAAATAGCCAAAGGGCATTATCGTAATCGAAAAGACCTGAAATAGCTGCCCCGCGACCCAAATTACGACAAACATATTCTATACCTTTGATAACATGATTTATTGTTCCGGTTCGGTAGCCTGTCACGGTTACTCTAGTCC